TATTGGTGGGGGGAAGGTAAGTTTTAAGTGGGGAAGCGTCTGCCAAGTTCCGCTGGAAATGGTGTATTGGGACAGAGGTGTGGAAAATCCCTTTCTCTCAATTTAGCTGAGACAAGAATAGAGTTTTTTTCGGAAGCATTCTTTCCTTGTAAACCAATGCAAGCAGAATAAGCAGAGTATAGGCATGGATTGTAGATTTGCAACATGACTCAGCCACAGTTTACTCACAGGCTGGTGTTGCCAGCACTGCTGTGGACTCCTCCCCGCCCCCCTTTCCTCATTTCTTCACTCTCTGTATTTCTGGGAACAAGGGTAACTGGGTTACCAGTTTGAGGCAGGTCTGGATTGGTAGGTTCCCAGGACTTGTGGGATTCTCTGTTAGCTGCTATCCACCCCAATTCCTGATGTTGTGCCCTTGATAGAGACTTCCTCCCACGATTCTTTCTCGGGCTTCTGGCCATCCTGCGGTAACCTTAGTGGTGTTATTAACTTCATGATCTTAAAAATTTGTTTCTTAACAGGATTGTATTAACATAGTTCCAAAATTTTACACATATAGCAAGGGTATACAGTACAATCTCCCACCCCTGTATCCTAGAAACCAGTTTTCCCTTCTCTCTTCCTCAAAGATAATATTAGTAACGGTAGCTTATTGGGTATTCTTGCAGCGTTTCTTTATGCGTATATAAGGAATACGTATGGAAACACAGCTGATGATAAAGTACCCAGGTACTTTATACAAGGTCTGGGACTGGACTGGGGCCTGGTGATGTGGTATGGTGTCTCCAGGGCAGCGTCTTCCTCAGACTTCAGGGAATCAGGTCAGCTAAAGTGTTTCGTTGCCTTACATAATTTCCAGCAACAGCTTCAGGCTTCTCCAAGGCTTTATGTGTAGCCATGTAGAAGAAGACACAAAAGCCCAGTGCTTTTTCACATATGATTTTTAAAAATGCATATGTGGGCCGGTGCAGTGGCTCATGCCTGTAATCCCAGCACTTTGGCCAAGGTGGGCGGATCACTTGAGGTCACAAGTTTGAGACCAGTCTGGCCAACATGGCAAAACCCTGTCTCTACCAAAAATACAAAAATTAGCTGACAGCAGTGATGGGCGCCTACAATCCTAGCTACTCAGGAGGCTGAGGCGCAAGAATCGCTTGAGCCCATGAGGTGGAGGTTGCAGTGAGCTGAGATGGCACCACTGAACTCCAGCCTGGGCAACAGAATGAGACTCTGTTTCAATAAAAAACAGTTAATTAATTACAAAAACAAGGCTGGGCATGGTTCATGCCTGTAATCCCAGTACTTTGGGAGGCTGACGCCAGCGGATCATGAGATCAGGAGTTTGAGACCAGCTTGGCCAACATGGTGAAACCCCGTCTCTACTAAAAATACAAAAAAATTAGCCAGGCGTGGTGGTGCACGCCTGTAATCCCAGCTACTCTGGAGGCTGAGGCAGAATTGTTTGAACCCCGAAGGAGGAGGTTGTGGTGAGCAGAGATCACACCGTTGCACGCCAGCCTGGGTGACAGAGCAAGATTCCATCTCAAAAAATAATTAATAGTAAATATATAAATAAATAAAATGCATAAGTGTTCTATGTGTTTAAAAATCAAGGAGCTATATATTTCAGTTCTAAGGGCCTATGGAGAAACCCATTCATATAGTAATACAGACTTGAACAGCCAGTTATAAGCATGGAATTGACCAACAAATGTGTTAGTGTTATGTAAACTAAAATGTGTATTCTTATTTTTCTCTTGTCATTTTACAAGGTACCCTGTTGTATGTATACATTGTTCTGTATCTTGCATTTTTTCTCTACTTACTATGACTTAGATCTTTCACATCCTTATTTGGAGCACTTCTTCACTCCCTTTTTTAATAGTTGCATAGAATTCCATTGCCTGGATGAACAATCTTTTTATTAGCATTTTATCGGTACACATTTATGTTGATTCCTATATTTTGCTGCAGTGAAAAACTCTGCACAGATATGACATGTAACCCTGTCTAACTCATAACATGCCCAGACAGAAGGCAGGATTTTGTAAGCGATAAGGGCAGTGCAGCTTATTGATTTGACCACCTAGAGCAATTGAATCTTGACTTAAATGATTAAGTAAGGTCTTTTCTGTTCAGGTAACTCCATGAACAGTACCTTGCGGAGAAGGTTTTGCATTCTGGATTTGATCAAAGGACAAGTGCGTGGTTCTCCTACTATACCTGGCTATGGTCCATTACATTTAAAGTATAGACAGCAGGTTCCCACATCGTGTCTGGTTCCTCCTCAGTAAAGAACTGGTTATCACTATCAGTGTGATGGAAGGCCCCTCTTCATGTTCTACTTCTCTATTCTTACCCATTATTGTCTCATAAGTCTCATAAGTTTTCGCTAAGTCTTTGTCTTGGAAGTTGCACCGTCTGCCCTTTAGCTTCTGCTTTGTTTTTGGCTGATTTCTACCTAGACTTTCTCCTCCTTGGACACTCTGCAGATTTCTGGCCTTGGCTGTGGCTTGCTGCACCCTGGCTGCAACGCAAGGCTGCTGTGCTTCCACCCTCCCGGTAGAGTGAAGTCCCTTCCTGTCCTCCCTGATAGGAGGGGAGGAGATGACTTGGATTACCCCAGGGCACTCCTTACTTGTTCCATCATATCCACCCAAACTCACAATTATTACACAGCATAGATCCCTCCTCCATGCTGCTCTCCATGAGGGTATCCATAGTTTTTTGTTGTTTTTTTTTATCTTGAAGGCCCCTTAACCCTGACCTCTTTCTTTTTCAGTCTTACCCATGGCATCTTCATGAGCAGAGTGTTTTCCCACTGTGGGTTCTTTGGGACACCAATTCCACAGCATTTTATTTGATCTCAGAATCACGTTCATCCCGCAGCATCATGAGCACTCAAGGTATCTCCTTGGGAAGCTCTGCCCTAAGCAGCCCATTGTTAGGATTTGTTTTTTCACTTTAGTGCAAAACTTGGCTTCTTCACATATGATTTTGAGCCTTCCCAAGGACCATGAAGACTTGTAGGGAGGTGTTTCTTCCTCCTGTGGTCAGAAGCAACCTCCTTACCTCTTCCTGTTTCAAAGCCTCCATCCACTTGGGGCTGCCCTGTAGGTTGCTGTTTCCTGTCTGAGAAACGACTCTAGCTTCTGCCTCAAAGAATACTGATGCCTAACTTGCTCTTAGCTTAGCGGCTTTTGAAGAAAGCTTCCCTCTCTTGAATCACACCTGCTCACATCTGGGAGAAACCTTGGGTTGTGTTGATGGGGTGGCCCTCCATGAGCCTGCCATTAAATTGGCTCTCAAAATGCAGCATCCACAACAGACATATGTTCTGTCCTGGGAAAAGGAAGGTATTTTCTTTGTTCAATGTGTGTTTGTGGCTTTCCAGGGCTTTTTCTGGCACAGAGATTCAAATCATGGGTGGTTCTCTCTTCTTTTGTCTAATTTTATTGTGCTGTTTTCTCTGCACATAACAACATCTTGCTGTAACGTCCTGTTTATCCTTCAGTGACATGTGTGAACGCGTTTTGGGGGAGTAAATACTCAGCAAGGGTTGTCAGAAACTTGAGCATTTGCTCCTTAATAACCATAGCCAATGAGATGAGTAAAGAAAATCATTTGAAGTCATGAAGGGTTTACTCCCTAGGGAACTCACTGGATCTGGGAAGCCAGTTATTCTTGTTTTTAGTTCCCTTACCTTGTCTGAATCAAAATATAGTATAGATAGTTCCATTATTTGTCACAAGGAGAAGGAGAGCTAGTGTCAATATCCCTATCTTCCATTGGTAATTTTAAATTTTTTCGAAATGGAGTCATGCTCTGTCACCAGGCTGGTGTACAGTGGCGTGATCTCAGCTCACCGAAACCTCTGCCTCCCAGGTTCAAGCAGTTCTCCTCCTTCAGCCTCCTTAGTAGCTGGGACTACAGGCATGCTCCACCATGTCCAGCTAATTTTTGTATTTTTAGTAGAGATGGGGTTTCACCATGTTGGCCAGGATGGTCTCGATCTTTTGACTTCATGATCTGCCTGCCTCGAACTCCCAAAGTTCTGGGATTACAGGTGTGAGCCACCATGCCTGGCCCCATTTGTATTTTATTAGCACTTAAGATCATTGAAATCATCTTGTGAGTATATTTATTAATGTGCTATCTATCCACCAGCCCCCAAGAAGAGAAATTCCATGAGAGCAGAGACCTTGTCTGTCTTACTCACCTTTGTACTCCTGGTGCCAGAACAACACATAACACATAACGACTCATTCAGTGCATCTACATTGCTGGATAAATAAAATCTCTCTGTTCTCTCTGCTGTGGTCTCCTTTGAAGACTGCCTCAGTCCATTGGGCTTGGGTGGTAAGACCACCCAAACCATGGTACCAAGTTGAATTTTAGATCTAGGGGGTATTCTGAATTTAGAGATGAGACAGGGTGGCGTTATGGGAAAAGATGATGAATTTGTGGGATGTCTGGGGTCAGATCTTGGCTCTGCCACTGATTTGTTTTGGGGAACTCTCTGAGGCATAATCTCTGAGGCATAATTTTTAAATCTGTACAGGAAGAATAATAATTACTCCTCTCTCTTTCCCCAAATACACTTTATAATCCTTGGTTGAAGAATGTATGAAAAATGTGTTTACGCATTTGCTCTGCAAACATGGAGGAGTGCAAAAATAATGGCCTTTTTCTTCCTTCTCTTTGCTTCATATAAAGCCAGGTGCCCTGGCCTGCCCCTAGCAGCTCTGCCAGAATTAGGATTTCCTGTGGCTGGCTGCCCTCTTCACAGTGCTACTTTCTCAGCGTGAACTGAGGAATGGATCTCCTTCTAGGATTTCCATCACTGCAATTCCATGATGAAAATGGGGGCAAGGGGATCAGGACCTAGGAAAGTGCCCCCCATTTCTCAGGCCTGGCCCCAGCCCGGGCCACTGGTAAGCACATTGTCACCATGAGTTGTACAATCAAGGGCTGCTTGACGGTGTTTCTCTTCTCCCCAGGCGGCTGTTGAAGAGTGAACTTGGATCATTCATTACAGACTATTTTCAGGTAAGCTGTGTGGATCTGAGCATCTGTCATCATGCATGTGGGGGGATGGGCCTAAAGGGGGTGGCCAGTGCTGTACAGCTGGACATGCCTTCCACAGCCAAAATGACGTATCCCAAGTCCCTGCTGTGTGCTGTGCATCACAGAGGGGCACCAGACACGTGTGTCCCGGCAGCTGATGGAGATCGCAGGCCCATGCAGCTGTCCTCAGGCATTTTGGTCTCAGGACCCCTTTACACTCGTAAAATGCATTGCTTATTTGGGTTATGTCTAACTTTACCATAATAGAAATTAAAACTGAAGAGCTTAAAATAGGTCTTCATTCATTTAAGTAATAAGCCTATTACATACTAGCACAAATTACATTTTTATGTAACAGAACTCTCAGGATAAAATAGTAAGGAGATCTCTGCATTGTCTGGCTTCATAGAAGATACTTGGATTTTTTTTTTTATGGAGTCCCGCTCTTGTTGCCCAGGCTGGAGTGCAGTGGTGTGGTCTTGGCTCACCGCAACCTCCGCCTCCCAGGTTCAAGAGATTCTCCTGCCTCAGCCTTCTGAGTAGCTGGGATTATAGGCATGCGCCACCATGCCTGGCTAATTTTGTATTTATTTATTTATTTTTTTTAGTAGAGACAGAGTTTCTCCATGTTGATCAGGCTGGTCCTGAACTCCCAACCTCAGGTGATCCATCTGCCTCAGCTTCCCAAAGGTGTGAGCTACACGCCCAGCAACAGTTGGATTCTTAACATCTGCTTCACTTTCAATTTGTAATGATATTGCATGTCATATAGTTTTGGGAAAACTCCACGGTAAACTTGTGGAGAATGTAAGAGAAAAACAAATAGATTAGTATTACTGAGAAAATAGTTTTGATCATGGGGATCCCTTGAAAGAGTTTCGATCCCCAAGGGGACCCTGAATCATACCACATCTGGATCCATTGTCTGATCCAGACAATCAGACTTCTCCCCTGTCTATACATTGTTGTTATAAAGCTAGTGAGTTTAAGGTTCCAGGACCAATCAGAGAGTAGTTTCTAATTCACAGACACAAGCTGTTTTTGTCACTAACCAAATGCATATGGTGGAGAGGGAATGGGGAGGTGCTGGGTGACAGGAAGTAACTGGGTGGCACCTTAGTGAAGTCAGAGTCCCCATTCTCACTCATTTGCTGAGTGAGCATACCGTTTCACCTCTCTGTGCCTCAGTTTCCTCATCTATGAAATGGGAATAAAAATATACCTTATAAGGTCATTATATGCTTTATGTGAAATAACACATGTAAAGCCCTCTGTACATAGTGTGTAGGGGGCAGTAGAGGGTAGTGGTCAAGATCGCAGCCTTTAGTGGCAGAGTGCCTGGATTCAATGCCCAGCATAGCCACTTACTAGCTGTCTGACCATGAGCAAGTTGTTTTACCTCTCTGTATTTCCTTTTCTGTGAAACAGCAGTAAGAGGACCAAACCTCATAAGGTTGTTGTGAAGTAAGTTATTTTTAAAAAGTGCTCAGTGACTAGCAGAGACTAAGACAGTAAGAAGTGCTTATTAAATTTATATAAGTGCCTATGTGTTATTCTAAGGTGGAATCCATCTCTTTTAATGGGAAAGTAGCATACAAATGCATAACATCTTGGTTTCAGGTTAGCAATATTATTCTGTATCCAAATAGAGCATACTTTAAGACGGTTTAAAGAGATTTTAGGTTTTGAAAACAGTACAGGCACCCTTTTATCGTTTTTCTTTATGAGATTCAGGAAGCTTAAATTTTTATATGCACTTTGAAAGAATGGCATGTCAGTTACACACACACACACACACGGCCAGCTCTTCTGCATCTGGTCAAACCAACACCCACCAGAATCCTGGAATTCAGTCGGGTCATATGTCTCAGCTGCTTGGGAGACAGCTCCTGTTCAGGGACAGACAAACATAAAGATGAAGAAAGAGATAATTAGTCACAAATGTGAATCATGTCAGTTGCCTTTGACACAAAGGTCAGTCTTGGCCTCACTCTCTTCTCTTGCTGTCTCTACTGATTGATTTTTTAAAAATCTAACTACAGAGAAGTGGTTTTTCAGTCAGTCCTGGAAAAACCTGCTGGGTTGAATTGCCTTCCTCCTTGACATTTAAAAGCTCCATGGTTTGGTGTGGTTTCAATCAGATTTTAAATGTCATTTGTCTTTTGGCGCTGGGGGTTACCCCTAAGACGGGTAGGGAAGGGTGTTTAGGTGGGGACTTGTTTATCTGGGAAGCCCTGAGGTTTTTGGGGGCGGTTAATACTGCTTACAAAGCATGCCAGTTGCTTAAAAACTAATAACCACTTGTCATTTCCTATCGGGAACATAATCAGAGAAGCTGCTTTGTGAATATGGAGTCTCTTGCCAGGGGTGTGGGGTGAGGACTGGTTTTCACAGTTTTAAATAGAAGTTTTCTTTATTTAAGGTGCCGATCTGGAAAGAAGGCTCTCCTAGACACAATTGTTGTTGTTGTTTTAATAGACTTTAAGTGTCATGTGGACACACAGTTTTTTTTTTTTTTTCTTTCTTAGTCTGTTTTGTTCCCCACTCCCTGCAAAGTTTCTGGAACATAATAGATGCTCAGTAAACCTTCTTGGGAAAGAGGGAGTGATTGTCTGCCACCGATAACTGAAATGATTTTAGGTGATATGTGCAATGACATGAAATAACGTTAGGGCTCGTGGTTAGAAAGTGCTCCCCTCTTTTATTTTCCTTTTGCTGTTGGGATTGTGCTAAGGAGTGTCTTGAGTTGCACCATGGCGTCCTCTTCCCTCCTCCAGGACTTACTGATCTCCCTTATTTGAAGAAGAGGGAGCAGTCCTCGAACTTAAGATTTCTTCACATTATTTGGTTGGCCTTGAATTGATCATGTGATTGGCCTTGAATTGATCAATAGGTCATGGATACCTGGTTTTGTTTGAGATATATTTTTGTGCATGTATGTGTACGTGTATGTGCACGTATATGTATGTGCACGTATATGAATGTGTATATATTTATTACACTTAGTATAAATGATGTTGCTATGGTTTCTGTTTTAAACATAGTTACATGTATAAAAAGTGGATTGATTTCAGAAAAATAGCATGCAAAGAATAATCGTGTAGGTGGCCCTGTCTCTAGCTGTAGTCATGCAGATGGGCCAAGAGAGACTCAGGTTTGGAAAGCCCATTGCCAGGCACAGGTTAAAAATAGGCTGGCTTCAAGCCATTCACTTTACGGAAGAAATCTCTGTATGAGGAGGCACGTCCCAGAGGGAAGCCTTGTTAGAGGGGAGCTTAGCCTTCACATTCAGCTGTCAGATGTTGTGTCAGGAGGGAAAGTCAGAGGGGACTCCAGAGAGTGTGTTCCTCCAGTAAGGAGGCAGAAGGAAGGCCTGGAGATAGATGAGGAATGGAACCTAGGGGTGGACGGGCAAGTCATCAAAACCATGGATGTGGCTGTCGTGGAAGGTGAAAGATGGGCTTCCTGGGTGCAGGGCTCTGCAATGCAGAGGCTTAGATGGCCACGCCCAGGCATCTGCATTCAGCAGTCAAGTCTGTCTCCTCACCCTGACCCCCAACTCTGAGCTTGCCACTGGTACAGCCCTCTCTGTGGCTCTGCTTTTAAGAGTGAACATTCCCATTTTATATGCTGAGAGACTTAACACAGAATGTTCTCAGTGGGAAATAATGAAAATGACTCCAGGTGAGGCCAAGAGAAAGCAGGTAGAAAAATCGTGCTTATCTCATGTCTGCACACAGAGAAGACAGGCTGCGTGATCTGCAGAAGCCCAGATAGATGTCCATCAGGCACTGACTGGAAAAGTCTCTGACATTTCCAGTATTGATTTTTTTCCTTTCCCTCTGTTTTGAATTGTGCCCAGATGGAAATTGGAGTTTCCTAGAGAAACACTATATGCTAGTGACGGCTCTGAGGGATAATTGGTTTCTTGTAATTTTTGAAACTGATGATATGAAACATTCTGCATTTTCTTATTGCCTAATTAGGTATCTTGGTGGTTCAGGGCATGGGGGTGTTTGCAGATAATACTTTCTGCCATTCTGCATCTACTGGCTTTGTGGTGTGTTAGGAGTTTTTCCCCCAAGCCCAGAAGTTCAATTCCTTTAGTTGGAACTGGAGTTTTGCTTGATACAGAAACTCAGGCTAGAGTTGGTAGCTTTGAATGGGTTAATACTAGGAAGAGAGGAAACCTAGCTACCACAATTATCAATAGGTGATGGATACCTGGTAGTGTTTGAGATATATTTGTGTGCATGTATGTGTATGTGTGTGTGCATGTATATGCATGCGTATATATTTATTTTTCCATTTGCTGCTCATATCTGCAAGAGTCCCAGGAGGCCAGTTTCCCCTAGAGTTTACAGCATATGGCAGAGAGCCGAAGAAGTATAGCATTAACTGTAGACCTGAATGGATGGCACAGACTTTAAATCAGGCCCAGAAAAAACAATTATACTTTGTGGGGACAAAGATAGGACTTCTGAGGATTCCTGGCAAGCTGGATGGAGAGAGGATCAAGAGTGGTGAAGGTAACTTTTGTGATTTCTAAATCCAAATCGAGGAAGAGAGAAAAGTTTCAGCTGTTCTTTGATCAACTGGACAGGCTTCTCTAACAAGCAGGACTCCCAAAATGGAAAAAGAGCTAACTGGGTGAACAGAGAGTAGTAAGAGGAATTCCACATAGGCTCTGCTTTGAAGGTAAAATTGGGGCCTATCTACATGGGGGACTTTGAACAAGTGCAGCAGGGATCTGGTGCAAAGACAGAGGAGAAGTTATGTTTTTTAGGTGAGTGGTCATTAGAGGTTGCATTTTTTTATTCAGCCAGTACCTAGAGCAGAACAGCGTTCTGGAATCTGTAAGCTTTGGGGTGGCCAAGAAGCTCTCATTGGCTGCCGTGAGGGGTGAGAATGAGGTGGAGCCAGAATGGGGGCTTTGAGAAGCACCCCTGGGTGACTTGGGCTACTCCCTGTGGGGCTTGCTG